AAATTAAATATTAAATTTAGAATTCCAAGATTAAATTCAGAATTCTGACTTTCATCTCAGAATCTCAAACTCAATGTCACATTTCTGAGATGAAGGTCAAAATTCTGAGGAAAAAGTAAGAATTCTTACTTCCCAGAATTATAACTGTAATCTCTGATATCTGATGTTTTTTCCAGAATAAAAATTTTTTAATTCTGACTTCTCTCTAGAATTCCAACATTTTTCTTAGAGTTTTGATTTTATTCTCAGTATTCTGATTTTTTTCTCCCCCAAGATTCTGAACAAAAAAAGTCCTATTCCATACTATTTCTGTAACCATTGTAGATTTATTCTACACCTCTAATGCTTTTTATAAAACTGAGCAAAATCAGGATGAAATGTAAATGCAAAGTCCTATACCACTTCTCTTAGACAAAGAGGTTAATTGCAACACATGGTGGAATTAGCGGTTTGAGATGTTGATATAAAAAAACATATTCTAGATATATATGCACCCACAAGACCAAAGATGCCCACCCACTTTTCTCCTGGCAAGCAAAAGTGTGACACGATGAACAGTTAAAAGAGAGAATAACAGCTTTGTGTGAAAGCATATGCTTGAGGAGAATAAAAACAAGGGTAACAGTGAAAAGCAAATAATAAAATTCAAACAATCTGCCTGAAGCCTGTTCCTGTGGTTCTGTACTCAGTGACACCTCAGGAGAAGAAAAGGAGGGAGAGGGCGGGGGAAGCGTGTCAGTTGACTTAGGGTTGATAAAAAAGACAAAAACACAATCACCTCATTGAACTCATCTGGTTTTAATTTTTGGGGTTGACTGTTTTTTTATTGAAGAGTATGATTATTAGAACGCACTTAAAAAGTCTGTCCATCCATTTTCTTCCACTTATGCGGGGTCGGGTCGCAGGGGCAACAGCCTAAGCAGAGAGACCCAGACTTCCCTCTCCCCAGCCACTTGGACCAGCTCGTCTGGGGGAATCCCAAGGTGTTCCCAGGCCAGCCGAGAAATATAGTCCCTCCAGCGTGTCCTGGGTCTTCCTCTGGACCTCCTCCCAGTGGGACATGCCCGGAACACCTCACCAGGGAGGCGTCCAGGAGGCATCCTAACCAGACGAACCACCTCAACTGGCTCCTCTCGAAGTGGAGGAGCAGCGGCTCTACTCTGAGTCCCTCCTGGATGACTGAGCTTCTCACCCCATCTCTAAGGGAGTGCCCAGACACCCTGTGGAGGAAACACATTTCGGCCACTTGTATCCGTGATCTTGTTCTTTCGGTCACTACCCAAAGTTCGTGACCATAGATGAGGGTTGCAATGTAGACTGACTGGTAAATCGAGAGCTTCGCCTTCTGGCTCAGCTCTCGCTTCACCATGACAGACCGGTACAGCGTTCGCATCACTGCAGACGCAGCACCAATCCGCTTGATGATCTCCCGCTCCATTTAGGGATGGGTACCTTTGACGTTTGAATCGATTTGGTACCAATATCCGGTACCTGGGAATCGATACCAGTACTTAACGGTACCAATTTTCGGTACTTTATGTGTGTTGTTTTTTCAATAATAAACTTTTATTTATTTTTTTAATTTAATATACTTCTCAATATATAAAATTTAACAAATATCAAGACAACATTCATCTCTTTGTATTTTAACATCAGTTGTGTAACTTATTTCTTTAAAGTGAAAACTCTTGAAAACAACAAGACTGTTTTGTCTTATTGCACAAATTAAAATCCAGCTCCACAKATTTCTATTGATGTCATTTCCCCACGAGAAAAATTGTGTGATGGAGGTCCATGGAAGGCAAATAAGTTTAAATCAAATAAGCAAAAGAGGATGGAGTTAAAATAAATAAAAGGTATTCAAGCTACATTTTGAGCATCCAAAACGCGTCCAGCGCTTCAAGTTAGCTGGTTGTGTTCTTTCAGGTCAGACGCGTTCGGACTGTCGGGAAGCCCCTCTGTTTTCCTCTGCTGGTCTCTGTTTAATGGTGGATGAAATAAAGAAAGTGGCGATACTTTATTTACTTTGAGCAAGCGAACGTCGTGTTCACAAGATAATTAATCCACCAGATAATTCAGAGGCGGTCTGTTCGGCGAGTTTTACTCCAGGAGCTGCGAGGCTTTCAGCTACATTCAGACTGAGTTCTGCTGCCTCTGTTTACTGACTGAACCAGCGGCTGCTGCTGCTGACGTCATTACGCTTTTGCGTGATGCTGCATTCAGGAGAAGCATGGAAAACTCACCACTCTTAAGACAAACCGGTCGCAATGATGCATTTAGGTACCGAAACATGGTACCGTTTGATGTTACGTGAATAGATACTCGGTAGTACCGACAGAATTCAGTCTTTACATCAAAAAGTATCAAATTAGGTACCCATCCCTAGCTCCATTCTTACCTCATTTGTGAACAAGACCCTGAGATCCTCCACTTAAAAAGTAAAACATAAATTTTCAAAAATCATCACATCGCCACATGAAAGTCTAACAAAGTAACTAACAATAAAAAAGTGTGAAATCACAAAAACAGAAATTCTAATTGAGCTCTAAATCTGGATGGAAAAAAGACATTTTATTTGTGGGTAGTGAGAGAAACACGGTAAGTTCGTAAACACAAAGGGCTAATATAGTTTACCTTCAAGAAACAAATGCCATGTTGCTCATTTGTGGAACATGTGATTAGTAACCTGCCAAGCACATCCAACTAAATGTTTTTGCTGGTCCAGCTGGTAGCTGACCCTGGTGGTTCACCCTGAACACACAGATGAGTTATAGATTTCATCTGTCTAGCAAGCACTTCAAAACCTCACAAGAGCAGCAGGAAAATACTGAAAGGACATTTATACAAGTTTAGCCTGTTGCCACAATAATACACTATTTAGGCAGCAGAAATCCAATAGATTCAGTTTTGGGAAGACTTTTACAACCTAAAACATATACAGTACATGATTCCCTCAAGAAACTACTTACAGAGACAGATGCGATCAAAATTCAGCAGATAGCCTAAAACCCTGACTCAGTTTCCCTTATAGAAAACATTCACAAAGCACATTATGACAAAATAAATAAATAAATCACCTGCAAATCAAACAGGCTTTTTCCCCAATTGCTCATATTTTTAAAAATAAAAAAGGGCAATATTCATATTCTTAAATCCCCCAAGAAGGCATCCTGATCACCAAACTGTTCACTAAGTTCTGGCAACACATTTTATCCAGCACTAAATGCTGAGTCATCAGGTGCTGACCTTGTCATTTGCAAAGACTTTTATAACTTGTGATCAAATATCCTAACTATAACTCTTCTCATACAAAAGCTCTCTGAGAGCGATGCTCAAAATTTAGACAAATTAGGAAGCCCCCCCCCCCCCCCAACAACACAATACAAAAACACTCCCTGTGATAGGGATGACAGTCTACTGTTGCCATGGTCCCTAGTAACATAGCAACTAAGTGACTTATTCAATGTATTTTCAAAGGAACAGCTGTGACCAAAAGCTTGAGAACAACCCCAAAGGCAGCATACACCCCAGAACATCCACAGGTGGGATATAAAACAATGAGCTAACACACAGCAGCAAAAACAACTAAACACTACAACAATATGTGTGTAAGGACACATCCGAGCCACTGCACATTTTGTTGTACATTGTTGGAAACAAGAAGGCTGTGCTTTGTCCTACCTTATCCTGAAGCAGGTTGAACTCATGAAGACCACAGATTGCTAGATGTTCAGTGCTGAAGTAAAAAAGACACAAGCAAAAACAAGTGAGTGTTACTTGTAACAATGTTAACAATCTTGTACATAAATTTGAGAGAGAGAAAAAAATGAAAACTAAAAAATAATCCAGTCTGTTAAGGTACATATGCCTGTCCTAACAGGGGGGGGGGCATGTTTCATTTTCAGTGTATCTTGATGGTGGCGAGCAGAAAAATGTATTTCAAATATACATTCCTCTTTTACAGCTGTCTAAACTACATCTGGCACTCGGTCTTCCCAGTAATAAATAATTGTTACCACATGTGCAATAAAGCTTTAGTGAATTATGAAGTGTGGCATCTTCAGAGTGATTGGGTATTCACAACCAAGCAAGTCAAATCAGCAGTAATAGAGAAAACATCAATACAGCAAGGAAAGACAAATGAGAGAAAAGAGGGTTGAGATGTGAGTAAAAAACACCCACAGACTCAGAGCTCATTGGATTCAGGTGAAGGAAACTATCCCATATAGATGATGCATTCATAGACACTCACTTACTCTGACAATTGTTCAACAAACCGATGCAGACAGACGTCACAGTTTTAATAAAGTCTATCCATTTTCAGGCTAACTGTTGTTTTGTGGTTGTGAGCGCACGCCGGCACAAGAAATGTGGTTTAGCTCCGTGTACTGACATGACACACGCACAAAGGTTTTCCTCCTCTCCTCTCCATCAGAGGGTGAAATGACATGATACCTCTGATCCTGACAGAGCCTAAAAATACACAGTCTAACAGGGCATAGCGGGCCTCTTTTTCCCCCCAAGTTTATCCTAGTTTGAAACCTAGTTTTGATTATTTTCCAGACTGTGCTAATTTGCTTTCTGTAGATCAGAGGTCTCTAACCCTGTTCCTCATGACTCTTTTTCCTGTGTGTTTCAGCCCTGCTTCAGCACACCTGATTCAAATAATTTAATCAAAATGTGCTCACCGTGCATCCTTTATTTCCAACAGGGTTTTAGACCTCTGTTTTAGATTATAGTATTGTTACAGAATAGTGCAATAAATACCTAATTTTTCCTCACTCTGCCTTCTTAAAGCTCACAAAACTACACATCTGTTCAGTGACTATTATCCAAATCGCATCAAAGTCTTGGGCCGATAGACTTTGTCTAATTGGCCAAATATAYTAGCGTGAACACTACAGCTTGAATGCACAGCATTTGGAGACCAACTATCTGCAACAATCCAAGCATACTTTTGCTAAATTAATACAGCACACAATGACATTAAGATGTTATTAAGTGCTGTTGACCTAGGCTAGAACTTGACCGTGTTCTCTGAGGCAGTATGAGTTGTTTTTTTACATTATGCTATATATGCTGTAAACTATAACAAACTAAAGCAACAAAATGTCAGCTTAGTTATTTTTTATATAAATAACAACATATCTGTGGGCCAGCATGAGTTCACATCATCTGTTCACCTACCTGCGGCTTGTTCAGCTGCACCTGTTGCGTTAGCTAGCAGCAGTTTGAGCCCTCGTCTCGGTCGGTGGTGCTAAACAAGCTAACATCTGCTCTTCGAAGTCCCTGACAAGCAAACAAAACACACAAAGACACTTAACGAGGCTCACCTAAAATTCGAGGATATTTTTTAAACTCTGTGAGGTTTTCCTTTCCATAGACGTTCTTCTTCCCCTTTTTTTTTTTCCACTTCTCAGCTTGGCTCTGCTTCTCTCCCACCGGCAACCAAGATGGCGACCGGAAGTGACTTCCACTCACGTTTTGCGTTCAACAATTACTTTTTTAATAATAAACTTTTAAGCTTCTAATCATATACTAAAATCTTGAAAATACACTAGGAACGGGAAGAGCTGCCTCTAATAGAGCTTACCCAAGATAAAAAAAAAAGTATCTAGGCTTCATAAGGTTGGAACAGGAACTCAGACACTACCCACAACAAAGACTTTAATCCTCTATAAATGAGGTGTCTTTTTTAAATCAAGCTGAGGGAGCTGTATCTATACATACAAAACTCCTTCTATATCCTTGACGGTGTCAGTCTCAAATTATTACTTTGCTTAGCTGCAATGTTAAATGTGAAAATATTGAAAATAAAACAATCAAATGTAACAAATATTTATAAGTAATTAAGTACATTTTATTCAAGCTTTGACTTACATACAGTTGTGTAAAAGTCCAGGCTGCCACAGGGGTGGGGGGTTCCGGGGGAGCTATGGCCCAACCACCCCCTACATAACAAATTTTTATGGACTTGTCTTAAGTGTGGAAGAACTCTGAAATAAAGAATCATGTGAAACTAAAGTCCTGGAAGTTACACAGCGTTATAGTTTAGTAAAATATTGGGCATTCAGATTTTCTGTTATTGCTCATTGAGTTCTAAAAGTCAGGGGAATAAACAGCTGTGTGATCAGCTGCATGCTCAGTGCATCCAGAGCCTTTCTGCTCCATCTTTTGAGAAGAGAGTTATTTTCCAAACACCTGGGGGATGATTTACCCTTTTGTCAGGAAGAGTATTGACCAGGCACTGATGGATTTGATATTCACTCGAGGTAATTTCACTGATTACCTGTGTATCTCTTGCTCAGTGTGAAGGTATGCTAATCAGAGAAATCACCAGGAATAAGCCCTGTAAGTCCAAAATCATTGCTCTTTTCCTCTGTGACGTGAACAACATGCTGGTAGCACTAGCTGAATAGCTGTAGAAATTACCGCAGCTGTTTGTGGTAAAAGCCCAAAGGAACCACAGGTGTTTCCTCACAGGGGAGCCTCAACTTCAAAGTAAAAACCTACACAGAAAACACACATCACACATGACGCTACTGGCAAAAAATAATTAATTCAACAGTAACAGAATGAGTATTTAGCACCAGAGGGTCTCTTTTTTTAATCTGTTTGTTTTTAATTCATTTGAATGCCTATATACTGCAAAGATCAGATTGTATGACTTTCTGAAAGCTGTAAAATAAAATTAGGAAAAATTTAATCTTGTAAAAATGGTAATTTTTAAATAAGATATCATTAAACTACCTGCATTCATTTGAAGGCACTAATGAATGCAAAGCCACTGTTTACATCATTATCAGCTGTCTTTTGATCTCATTTTTCAGTTTTTATTTGCTGTGCACAATGGGTTCACAGCCGTGGAGAAACAAAGCAGACTTGTATGATTGTGGTCCAGGAAACCCAAAACAACAGCAGGAAGCTCCAAGTGCCATAAATGTTTGTTTCTGAGAGTGCTAATCTGCTATAAGCTTTCAAATATTAAATGTTTACTGCAAAAGTCTAGAGTCATCCTTCAGTTTTTCGAAAATATTTTGCTTCTAAGAAGAAAGCATGGCATGACTGTTCAGCTGTTGTGAATATTATTTTTAGGCCTGACTCTTCTTTTTATGTGCTCTACTTGCAGTCTTTAAACACTCACTGCACAATATGGTGTCTTGGTACACAGCCTGGATAGACAATGAGTGAAAAAGCAGCCAAATTTCATTAAAAAACTTTGAAAGATGTCCATAACCCCCCCCCCCCCCCCCCCAAAAAAAAAAAAATTGTTGACTGAGGCCACCCTCCCACTGTATTTGCTGCGTGCCAACAAAGCAAGAAAAAGTCATGGCTGCCTCTTGGGGACCCAGCCAGGCCACCTATGAACACCAAATAACGACCCCAAACCCTCTTTGCCCCCCAACCACTGCTTAATCAGGTCAGGGGATTATGATGTTATCAGTCCATGAAATGGACGTTATTAGATGTTATCAGTCCCATACAATGGCTTCAGAGGGTCCCTACTGTGCCTTCTAGGCTTCAGGCTATCCCGACAGTGTCCCCTAATGGGTTAATATATCAATGACAATGAATGTGTAAATAACCAAAAGATATTGTAATAATTTTTTGTGTCCGTGTGGGTCTCAAGCCCTGGTCTTCCACTTTCTGGTCCAAGACTCTACCCATTACCCTATTGGAAGGCCACTATATATAACCGCTGGAGGGTGGTGTCATTAGCGCTAACCATGTCATTTGCTCTCAAGTTAACCTTAGTGGATTTAAGCCTCCTATTAACCATTTTTAATGCCTCATGTTAATCAGATAATGGTTTTATGCCTCATATTAACCAGACAGTGGCTTTATGCCTCATATTAACCACATAGTGGCTTCATGCCTCATACTAACCAGCTGACAATCGGAAGCCATTCTATGGGACGGGGAACCTGATAACCGACGCAGGCGGGACATTCTGAAGCCATTCTAGGGGACTGATAACGCCTAATAAAGTCCATTTCATGGATGACAACAGACGAAACAAGTGAATCAGGTAAGGATAAGGGTAAGGGTTGCGCTCGATTCTAATCTCCCTTCTCTGTTCCGTCTGGGCTTCCTCACAATTAGGCCTACAAGGATTTCTCCGGTAGATTTCAACCACGCGGGGTGCGAACAGAAAGAGGTGTTGTGAACAACTACAATGATTTCCTGCACCATTTTAGTCCGCGTGTAGTTTATCAAGCGTAGGAAGTGAATGAAGCCATTCTGTCCATGTTGACAAGGCTTCCAAATTATATTAAATTAGTCTCGCAAAGCCTGCAGCACTCATTTGCAGCCATCTCATTCGGCTGGGTACTTCTCTCTTACCAGTAGGGGATGGTTGTTTACAGCTCACGCAATTTTTGGTTAGCTTTTTAGCTTAGCTTCCTTCATGGTTGAGCTGGCGCGCTGCATACTTCACGGCCAAATGTCAGYGATTGGGTAAAATCAGATTCAATCGTTTTAAACTTCAACAGAGCCCATGTCTCCAGCGAGAAATCGTTTCTCAATGGCCGAGAGTCCAGACCCTCTGTACGAAGCAAAGCAAAGCAAAGCAAAGMAAAGMAAAGAAAAGAAAAGAAAAGAAAAGAAAAGAAAAGAAAAGAAAAGAAAAGAAAAGAAAAGAAAGGAAAGGTTTTATTTTACCGATATGTGGCAAAAGGGGATAAAGCCACAACACACCATGTGCCTTTGGTCAGACCTACAGACATGCATTTTATCACAGAAATAAGTTTGAAAACCAAGCATTCCTTGAAGTAAAGCACATTGCCAGTCAGAGTTTTAGATATCTTATGATGAGAAGTTATGAAATTGTATCCACTTTGGTTAAACCTTAAAAACATATGTGATCTCAAGCAATATTGTGAAAATTTGTTGATTCCAACAGTAAATGCTGAAGTTTTAATCAAAGCGCTTATATAAAAAGATGAACTTGGAGTTGTAAATGACTCCCAGCTACAACCATATCAAATTTTAGTACAATATCTATAAAACTGACTGAATTATAGTTTGTGTTGTCTGAGGTCAGTGTGCTGTGGCAACCATAACCAGTGCATTCTCTCCAAATTTCATTCAAATTTATTTAGTGGGTTATGAGCGTTTTTTATTTTTATTTTTTGTAACAGACCGTCACACAAAACCCTTATTGTCCTCCTTCGTTCTCTGGCCTGTGGGCAGTAAAAAAAAAAAAAAAAGCTAAACGAATATGGCTTATTATGTTTTTTCTAGTTTATTGTAGGTGTCTCAGTTTTCTCCACAACGGAAGCACATTACTGTCTGACT